AAGCTGTATAAGTCACGATTGCCACATCTTTTCTTTGTTTCTGATTGATAGGTGACAAATTAAATCGCCTCAATGCCACTACGGGGGAATATGCCCAGGCCTGTGTTCAGGTAGCTCGGGACTGTGGGACAGATGTAGTCGACCTGTGGACACTGATGCAAAAAGATCAGGTATGATGTCATGAGAAAGACTCTGAAAGTGTCATGAATTGTGACATGCATGATTTAGCACGGAGGAACCGGTATTGCTGCATTATCACCGAAACAATACAAAATATATCCAAATTATATTTTGGGGAAGGAAAAAATAATTAATACATTATATTTGGTTAGCAAATGTCCCCTGGGTGCCTTACATGTAGATAACATTTTCCTTGGACTTGGAATCATGGAGCAGTTTTTAGGCTGGAAGGGGCCTCTGGAGGCACCTGGTCCAACCCACTGCCCAGCGCTGGGCTCACTTCACAGTTAGATCAGGCTGCAGGGGTACCTTGCTGATGCTTCTGACCAAATATCCAAACTCTGCCATGTGACAGATTGCAGACTTTTCCTGTAAGCAGATAACTCCAGTTTGGACACTGAACCTTTTCTCTCTCTGAACTCCCTGGTGCTGTAATACTGTTCTGTGGTGGAGTAGACTCAGTAGTTTGATTGCATCACCTAATCCCACAATCTTTTCCTGATGAATAGCAGTAACTTCTGCCCTCAGAACATTCTCTTAATATTTTAATACAAATGGTGAAAAATAAAACCAGTATATATATCAGCTGGCTTTGAAGAATTAACTTACTTAAAAATTACTCAAGAGCTTGTATTTGCAACTAGCAAATACATTAACACATGGTTTTAACCTTCCTGGTAGGATTTCTCTTCCTATTTGTCTGATGGTCTTCATTTATCAAGAAAAGGCAACACCTTTCTAGCAGGACAACTTTGGTCACTCCTGGAAAAAAAACTGTCTGCTCTTCCTTCACTTCTTCCTTATTGGCGTGACGTGGACCATGCGAACCCTGAGGCCAGTCTTCTGTGAGATCCCCTGCGGTAAGGAGCCAAAGCCCCCAAGCCTGACAAAGCCGGCCTGTTTACAGCCAGCCAGTATCCAGCAACAGACAGCAAACATTGGGCAACGGGTAGCGGGGAGTCCCCTGTCAACACTCTTCCGTGTCCCCTTCTCTTGGTCTGTGGGAGAATAAAGATGAGCCCACTCAGGGGGTGTTTTGTCTGCGTGCTGCTTGTGATGGTAGTTTGAACATCTGTGGGGATGAGCTCCTCTTTCCTTGGAAGACTTGGAGGAAAATGAGACTCTTGCTCTGTGACCATAGGACAAGGGGCAATGGGTTCAAGCTGGAACATAGGAGGTTCCACTTGAATATGAGAAAAAACTTCTTCACGGTGAGGGTGACAGAGCACTGGAACAGGCTGCCCAGAGAGGTTGTGGAGTCTCCTTCTCTGGAGACATTCAAAGCCCGCCTGGATGCGTTCCTGTGGGATCTGATCTAGGTGTTCCTGCTCTGGCAGAGGGATTGGACTAGATGATCTTTCGAGGTCCCTTCCCATCTCTAACATTCTGTGATCCTGTGAAGGGACAGAGGCTGCCCTGAGCAGTTCCTGGCCTAGCTGAGCTTTGGGAACTACACCTGGATTAATACCATCTGCTGGCTTTAAACACCTACGAGCTGGTAAGAGGCAGCAGCCTGGAGTTGGTCAAGAGCCATTGGTGTCAGTCCAGATTAATTTATTTGGTTATAATACAGCAGTAAAAGCAGTTACTGAGCTCTAGCAAGGATTTTGTTAGTGATATGTTGCAGGGGTTTTAAAGTTTAACTTAACTTTGGCACCAGCAGCAGTTTCTTGCATATAGCTGCAGATTTCAAAACAGTGCATGGTTTTGGGAAGTGTAAAACTGGTGATGCACATGCTTATCTTGAGAAGCTTGGATTTTGAACAATGTACTAGAAGGGGTCTGCATCTCTGCTGACAAAGCTGTGTCATGTAATCTGCCATCAAGTTAAGGAGACATTTCAGGTGGGCTTTGACCTTCATCCGTAATTTAACAATTGATGTAACAGATGAGTACTGTATAGTTTTTGGCTAAGAGAACACATACTGCAAAACTACCTTCTACAAACTGAAAAAAAATTGCCTGAAATCTAGATGAAATTCAAAAAATATGGAAGCAAAAAGGGGTTTGGGAAATAATTGGCTAGCCAGCCAGCTAGCAGAAGAGGTGAGACTACTACTGGACAATAAAGAGAAATAAATAGTGTATCACTGCAACTAAAGACCGCCACTTAATTCTGGGCTGTAGTTACCAACAGTGACATTGGTACAAAACAGATGAGGTCAAGAGTGAGGCCTTGGGTGATGTATTCATTATGCATTGGGTGAGACAGATGAGAGCATCAAGATGTCCTGCTTTGTTACTGCCACAAGGCTGCCTTTGCTTCACTGAATAACTTCAGAGAAGTTGGCCAAGACCTGTCATCTATTATGTAATAGTGTTATAAACTGGAGCACAAGTAGTTATTTCTCATATGCCTGGAGCTAGAGCAGAAGCTGGTTTGATTTATAAGTACTTATGAATATTAAACTGGACTGTCCTTTGCTGTAACAAGTGCTTGCAGCGAAGCCTGGCTCAACAGCAGAAGGGGCTCACTGGGGACATTGTGGATGTTCCTGTGTTTGATGTTATGAACAAACTGCCCAAGTACAGATGTCAGAGTTTCTGGGATTCAGGGACAGATTCTGTGATTTCTGAGGTCTGCTCGAAACCTTTATTTCCATGCTCCCCAGTGCCTGCGCCCTGCCTGGTTTTCATTTGGGAAGTAATGACCTTAATGCTGAAAAACATGTACTTACACATTTGCATTTGAGCATGCACCCATACCTTAAATATGAATTTCACTGTCAGAACTGACCCTATGAAGCTCATCTAGAGCCCAGGTCCAATGGGGAGAAGCTGAAGGAACTGGAGTTGTTCAGCCTGGAGAAAAGGAGGCTGAGGGGAGACCTTATCACTCTCTACAACTGCCTGAAAGGAGGCTGTAGCCAGGTGGGTGTCAGTCTCTCCTCCCAAGTAGCAAGCCATAGGACAATCTCAAAGCTTTTTCCAACCTAAACAATTCTGTGATTCTACGATAATCCACCAGGACACCTGCTGAGACTGACTCCATCCCCACTGGAAACAGCGCAGACCTCTTTCAGAGGGGAGCAGTGAGAAATAACTGGCTCAACTCTGGCTGCATGACAGACTTTTAACAAATGAAGGACTGCACAGAAATAACTGCTGTATAACTGATTTTTTTTTTTTTTTACTATAAAAAGCTTTTATTATATTGGGAATTAAATTAACTCCTCACACATGTACTTTGCACTGAATCAAAAAAAGAAAACCCAAACAATAACAACAACAAAACAAACAAACAAAAAAGTTCAAAACCAGTATATAAAACACAATAGCTAGTCAGATAGGAATACCATAAGGCACACGTTCAAGTATTGAGAGGGGGATACTCCCACAACCCTTTCAGCACAGGTTTGGTTCCTTTCCCTCACATTTAAACACACTAAGGCTTTCCGCAGCTGCGGTTCCCCTGTGGCTGAGTGCAGGCTTGTAACAGTTAAAACAGTTCTACCGTTGGTCATGTTTTATGTCAGTTTTATCAACAGATTATTATGGGAGAAAACAGACGCGGAATTAAGATGCTGCTTTACTCTCACAACAGTCGCTCTGTGACTCCACTGTGTCAGTACATCTGCTATGAAGCTGAAACAATGCTCGTGTACCAGTGCCAGCTCACCTTACAGGTCTCCAGGTGTATCAAAGTAGAGGACACCATTAAATTACCCACTTTTAACATCACATTGTACTACCTTGTGGGAATCTGAATTCATGAAGTCTCCTCCTTATATTTATCCTGTAAGTTTAACAAAGGTTTATTTATTTTTTTGATTAAATTCACAATTACTTTTAAACAAATGCCCCCTACTGTAATGGAGTGATTTCCCCCTCCCAATTTAGTTATGTAGTAAGAGCTTCCAAAGGCCACATAGACCCTGAAAACTGAGGCTCAGCTCTTTGAACATCTCAGTAATAGTGTTGCCTACTTCAAAATATCATTTGGAGAAACATCTCTGCACTGAAACAACTGGTGTAAGCAGCTGGTTAAAATGGTCCTTATCTGCTTAAATGATTTTTCCACTTACACCTCTTTCTCCTGCCACACACCTGTGACCCATGATCAGAGTGGGAAACTCCTAACGAAAGCCTTTCTCTGCAGAAACATGAAGACAAGAGAACCTCAGCACTAAAGGCAAAATAAGTTTCACACCAGAGGAGTATTTCCATGCATTGTGTAAGGTTTAACAGCTTCTGCATGACCCTTCTATTTTTATTTCTTTAGAAGCTGTATATCTTGAGCTTCTTGATTCCAATTACGCATCTTCACTGAATGCTGTGAGACTATATATCTTTAGCTGTTTCATTACTCTCATTCTGTTTTCAAAGCATCTGTTAGGCTTTTGCTTACATGTACCTTAAACTGCTAAATGATCTACTCTATGTGGAACATACTGCAGTGTTTTCATTATGTTTTTTAAAGCCTCTTAGTTTTGTCTATCAGTGCTGTCAGATTACAAAACATTAAATTATAGAAAAGGCCAATATACACAATCCAATATCCAGCAGGATATTTGGTTTTGCACCACAGGTTGAAAGAAATGTTAAAGGTCAAGGAAATAGAAAAACAAATCCAAAAAGCTTCAAAAACAAGCTAGCTTTAGTTTGGATTTTCCTTTTTAAAAGATATAATGCTCTAATAAATGTAATTTAAGGAAGGTCATACACATGACCAGCATCTGCAGTAGGTCACTTCCTTGTTTCTCCCACTCCCTCACAAAAATATATATACATATATTTATATTTATATAAATGAAATGGTTTTAGATCCAAATGAACTTATTTTGCAGACACAAGTCATGTATTTAGAAGGCAGCAAAACACTAGCATTCTGTTTCTTTGCTGTCCACCCGGTTCTGGCGCTGTAGTTTAAAGGACGAAGCTTTCTCACTCCTAATGACAGGATGATCTGTCAAGTCCTCAAAAGATTTTGCAGCCGAGGTGCTATTTGGGAAAGGGTCCTTCTCAAACCCGTCCTCATCAATGTGAGAGTCGGTGCTGGGGTCCTCCTGAATTGTGTCCATTCTTTGGTGGTCCTGTTTCGGTGCTGGTGCAACGGCAGGGACGGCCGGGGGGGGGTGCCGACGGGGGGG